GGCAATGCCCCCTGGCTCCAGAGGCCAAGATAGAATGGCTCTACAGGCTGGATCCAGCCCTTCATCTACAGGTTTCAAACCCTAATCCTGGCATTACAGCAAAGTAGTGTGCCTCTTACACATAAGGGACAGATTTTGACCAATCAGCATGTAAGTAAACTGTAGTGAAGCATATGCATAAAGCATAAAAATATGTTTAACAGATAGAAACCGTGCTACTTACAAGGACTGTAAGCAGCAAGGCTTGAATTTTTGGATCAGTAAGAACCTCTTCATCTAGGAGGACATTTGACTCCGATACAGAAACTTTCCGAAGATGTGGGTGTTGCTGTGGTGATATTCTCTGGGTTTCTGCCGGAAAAAGAAAATTGGTATAAATCAGAGCACAGTAGACCGAGGTGGAGGTGGAGCAGGGGGGAAACGCAAAACAAAAAAAGATAAGGAAGAACCATATACTATTTGTTCAAATTCAGCCACGTAACTTCTTTTGACGCAGCTTTGGATTACCCACAGTTATGTAACTCCTACTGAGGCAGGCATACTGTAATACCTTCTAACAATACCAAGCTGTCAAACAGCACTTTTCATCTATAGGTAAATATCTGTTTCACAAAAAGGGAAAAGAAGTACAAGGAACTTAAGCAACGTGTACAAGGTCAAAACAAAGGCAGGGATGGGAACAGAACCCAGGTCTGGTGTCCCTGGGGCTGTATGCAGTAGGCCATTGAGAGAAATTATCACTTATCAGCTGCGTGTGTAAAACCCTACATTTAGAGGTTATAAAAATATAAAAGGCACGATCCGATTCATCTGATTTCATTTGGTTATATTTTATGATTTAGGGCTGCCTCTTACTCGGAGTTTCCAAGCTGAACATCAACTGCCAGGGCTTCAGAAAGTTGGAAGCTTTCAAAGTGGCTTTGTTTTGTTAGACAGATATTTGCTCTTTGTTGAGCCTACGTAAATGAGCACTGCATTTTACAATAACCCTTGGCTCACAGCAATGAACATTGTGTGCATCTATAAATAATTGCATTCTAAAAATGTTAGTCTTGCTTCTCACCAATTTCATAGTCGTTTTCAGCTACTCTCCTCATCTTGGGGGGTGTAGTGGTTCCAGATTCCATTTCTTGCCTTTTAGGAGCCTTTGTGTCTGATATCAGGTGGTCAAAACTTTTCCTTGTACCTAAAAACAAGTTACCAGGATATGAAATCAAAACCAGTCATATGCACTGGGACAATAGGGCACTCTTTTTTTTCTGATCTAGGAGTTACTAAGCCTACCTAAAATACTTGAGCAGAAACTGGGGTGGGTTTTAGCATCCTCTGAGGTGCAGAAACCTTTCATTAGGAACTGAGAGATGAGTAGCTGTGTTAGTCTGAAGTCAGGCAGGAGGTAGGGCAAGGAAGCACCTCACTGATTCAGAGGAGCATGAGCTTTCATAGGCGACAACTTACGACATGGCATAACATCCATGAAACAGGTTGTTACCCTACCTTCTGTCCTAAAAAAAAGTAAGGCCTCTTCCTGAAAGTATGGGAACTTACTTAATCAAGCTAATGATCTAGGAGAAGTCAATCATCACTGGCAGAAACATGAGCTCTGGATGCAGTAACACTAACAACTTGGCATCATCATCAAATCTTTTGAATTCTTGGCTAACTACAAGGTTACACTAGTAACCGAGTTACTTAGAATGACAGTCGTCTCAGGTGTTGGTTGTGTGCTGCTCCTTTCCCTGAGTCTATTTCCTCCTCAACAGACAGCAATGTGCTGCCATCTGGTAAATAATTTGACACCTGGATGCGTGTACTGTAACATGATAGGTCTGATGCAGTATGCCATCAGAGAAAACTTTTTTTTGGTTTTTGTGCAGTTAAGACCATCTATAAACCAAAGAAGTTAAGGAGCTGTAAAGTTTGAGATTTTAGGTTGATGGCACTTACTAAAGTTTGTTTCTAGCTTCAATATTTCAACCATTTTAATATAAAATAAAGCACACATCTCCAAAATGCTTTAAAAAAAAGTTTGGGATTGACTCTGTTTCTCCTGGCTGCCTACTCAGAGGAGAGGAGTGGAAGTTGGCAAAAGGGAGGTCTTACTTCTAGTGGACTAGACAAAGAAGATCTTTAATTGTGCATCTTGCAAGTGTTGGGCATGTGCCTACAGGGAAAGATACGACTGTTTTAACAATGCCAGAATACATATTACTGAATCTCCCAGGAAGAGTTTACCTCAGTTTGCAGATAAGCAAAGGAATTTAGTTTACTAACCCAGCAGTTTTTTAGTGTTAGCTTGTGAAGGCTGTCCCATATCCAAGCTCATGGATTTTCGTGTTCGAGGGCTAATCTGTCCTGCTGTGGGGTAACTGGCAGCAAGATGTCTGTCTGATCCCTTTGGAGAAGACCACGGTTGATTTTCTTTTAGTGTCCTGAAAGGGTGGAAAAAGTGTAATTTAAAAAAAACCCAGAACTGTACAGATTTGAATATAAACCATTTAAACCATTCAAAACTGAAATGCTTGTATATTAAGATATTGCAACCACTCTGGTTGCAAAGTTCTGAAAGTATAGCGTTCTAAGGCAATAAGATAATACATAAAGAAAAAGAAAAGAAAATGTAAAAGCTAGCCTATGAGAAAATTACTTAGCAGACTTTTCTCTTTCACTGGTCAATCAGGATTTAGACCTCATTTTACAATTAAAATGATGTTGGTTGTCCAACCCACAGGCAGACTCTTCATCTCACCCTGTCACAGGCAATAGTGATGCTGCTACATATGGAACATTCCAATGATGGACAGTGGCAGGTTATCATTAAAGAATTATGTTTCAAAAAACACCTAAAAATAAGGATTAGGGTGAAGTTTAGGCCTGGAGAGAGGGGCCAGGACAAAGCCCCGGCCCCATCTGACTCTCACAAAACACACTGATTCACAAAGGAGGAACCTTATTCACTTGAAATTTATGGGAGTTGGGCATCTACGCACCTCTGTAGATCTGGATCATAAAGCTCAAGAAGTGCCCGGGTGTAAAACCATTAAAATGCACAGTTGAAAATTAAGCTCCCGGTGGGAACGCTGGTTCTAATGTTAAACATCTTACTCATTTCCTTTAACGACCCCTTAATGAAACAGACTGGAATTTTGGTACTTGCTGTAACTTAAATGAAATGAGACAAACTGACCTACAGCTGGTGTCACTGTGATGTATGGGATATGTATCCATAGGAACATTTTCCATTGAAACATCTGTCAGCAAGAGAGATTTCCTGTGTTTTAAACTGCAGCGACTTCGAACTTCCTCAGATACTGTCAGCAGAGCTAAGAACGAGAAGAAAGGGCATGCCAGTTTTCAAAGACAGCAACATTTTAAAGAGCTAGGGCACTAGGAAAGTATATTTAAGAGTATATATTATATTTTCACAGCAGCCCAAGAACTGCAAATTATGTTTTATCTAAATATTTTCCCTCCTAATGAGCTTTGAGAGAAGTACCAAGGTACTTTTACTTTGAATGTCCAAAATTGCAATGCGGCTCTTTAATACCCAGTCTTTGCAGATTCTTGGAAATTTTCAAGTGCAGGTTGGACAGACACTTGGCTAGGATGGTATAGTCAGGACAATTCTGCTTTGAGCAGGGGACTGGCCTAGATGATCTCATGAGGTCTCTTCCAGCCCTACTTTCCTATGATCCTAAGGGAAGTGATTCTCCTGCCCTGTCCAGGACTGGTAAGGCCTCACATGTAGTACCATGTCCAGTTTTGGAAACTATAATTCAAGAAAGATGTGGACAGATTTGAAAGAGTCCAGCAGACAGCAGCAAAAATGATTAAAGGTGTGGGAAACACGAGGAAAGGCTGAAAGAACTGGGATTATTTGGTCTGGAGAAGAGAAGACCAAGGAGTGATCTGATAACAGTTTTATTCTATTCTCTTTGGCCAAAAGGTGCCGGATAAGGAACAGTGGTTTTAAACTGCATCAAGGGAAATTTAGGTGGGGTATTAAGCACTGGAACAGGCTAACCAGAGATGGTGTGGAGTCAGTATCCTTGGAAGTCTTTAAGAGCATGAGATAAACATTTGGACTGGGATGCTTTAGACAGGGATAAGACTGCCTTGAGCAGTAAGCTAGGCTAGGTGACCTCCTAGGCCTTACTTTTCTATGATGATCCTATGCACTCTATCAAACTTACTTCCTGAGCAGCCTGCCAGCTGTTACAATCTCTGAAAACAGTTTTTTAAATAGCTATTGTCTTATGAACGTAACATAACAATAGTTTCTACCACCACCGCTTTTCTTTTGATTTGGCTCGAGTATAAAAGTGTTTTTTCCTTCTTTACCTGCTAGATAAGCCACGCTCTGGGTATTCACTTCGAACTTGTCACAGTTCCTGTGTTTGTTAACCAGAGAGAGTAGTGTGTGTAAAATCCTTACTGTCCTTGCTACAATCATAGGAGAAGGATGCCTGTATCCTAACAAAACCATTTTAAGAAGAAATCAGATATTAACCATTTAATGGGTAATGCCAATTATTTACAAAGCTTTTATAAATATGTCATATACATAGGAAACAAAATCACTAGCCTAGCAGAAATCATGCATTCAATAAAAAAAAATTAAAGTGTGCTTTGATTTTTAAACTAAATATTTATTTAAATTCCTCTAACATGGTAACTACTTCCAGAATGAAAAGGTAGCCTGAAATAGAGTCTAAATAAAAATGAAAAAGATGTTTTTAACAGGAAGTAGCACAAAAGAGAACAAACAAACAAAACCACATATCCGGTCATGGTTCTAGACTGTATTATTATAGATCAACTTTGTATTATGCACTCTAAAGCACTTTGGTAACTGGCTTTCACACTTCTGCAAAGCTTCCTTTAGTCAACGCACATTCAATTTTGCATCAGTTTTGTGATTCAAGCATTTGGGAAAAAAATGCTTCCAAGTAACACTATAATTTTTGTTCATAAGCTTGAACTCCTTTCTTTCTAGAACATTTCACACCAGGCAAGGTGAAGAAGTCCATTTTTATTGACAGAAATGAGAGCCATTTGCAAAAAAAAAATTAATGGAGCCAAGAATGTCGCCTTTATTCTTAGATTTATTTTCAAGTGAACTTAGATGGTGTCATGCAATGCACAAGTTTTCTATTCCTACCTTTTAGAAGGTGCCCCACTAGTGCAAAGTTAAAGTTAGAGTTGAAATTGAGTCCTACAAAATGATCCATCTGTTTGCAGTGCCATTCCAATGGTCTCCTGATTTCCATGAACACTTCTTCCGGACTCTGTTAAGAAAGAAGTAGTGCACAAAAGCACTCAATTGCAAATTACTCATGCTTATTACTCGTACTACTAAACTCTTGGCAAAAATATAGAAACCATAATAGGAAAAAAAAAAAAAAGCTTATATGTAAACACAAATGATACCTTTACTGTAAGACTAACATTTCTGTGCCAGTCTAGAGAGATTCCCAGCAATACTATGTTTCACCTTTAAATTGGGAGTTTTTTTCTTCTTCTGGAGGTCAGAAAGGATTTGCTGCAGCTGTGTGCTATCTCCAAGTCAAAGAGTAGTTTAATTATTTAAGCAACAAGGGGAAAAGAAAGCAAAATGTGTTTTATCTTAAATGAATATCTTTTTACCCCAAAGTGACACCTGAGGGTAAATGTAAATCAACATTAATGGGAGGATTCTTATTACAGGAAGGTTTGCATAGATGTTGGGAATTGATTTCCTGCAAGTCAGAGTACTTGGCATCCCTTCAGTACTCTTTGCTATGCCACCACTCAGTGAGGAAGCCAATATCTGATCCAGCTGCTGTCCAAGCTACAGATGCACAAAACATTAAAGGTCAGTCAGAGTTTAATAAGGGACAGCTCACTTACTTTGTCATTGAATACCCGAAGACTATCTAAGGTATGGAGATTCTGTTCAAGTAGTGCTGTACCTGCAGAATACAGGTTAACTTCATCTAGCTGCAGCACTGCCATTGCCACCCAGAAGAGAGCCTTGTGCATAGGAGAGTCCTAGAGGGGGGAAAAAAATTGCCACAATTTTCATTTCAAATCTGTTTCTGTAAATGTAGAATGTGACAAAAATGACAAAGGTGTATATCAGTAATCTTGGATATGACCTGCATTGTTAAACTATCTTTGATGTCTGATGGTGGTGTCTCCCTTTAATCACATCCAGTCTGAGGACAAAATAAACTGTGTCCCTATGAGCATTCTCTCTGCATCTGCATATCCAAGGCACACCTCTACAGAATCAGCTGCAAGCACGTCTCATGACCAGTGCTTTCCCATTCATTCCCTCCCTTTGAATCACAAACATTTCAAATGGATATAGCACCTGGGCAGCAATAATGTGTCTTTGTTATCAAATATAGACGCTGTAAAAAGACCACACAGTGGTGCAGCAAATTTAACCTGGTCATTTCCTATCCAATCAGAAAGGCATAGTAAAAAAAAAGGTGGCATTCAACAAAAATTCTACAACTCCCAAATGCAGCCATTCTTATTAAGAATAGGTCTTCCTCATTGATGACAAATATATTGGGGATCTCTATCCAGATCCTCTCTGCATGACACCACTTTCAGAATGGAGAGGCATGCATAGAGGGCTCATAGGATTAGGATTAGGTCACTAGGCACATATTTCAGTGAGGCAGAGTAGATAATTAAAGTGAAATGAAATGGAACCAAATGTTTAAAGGCTATGTGACCTTCACTGGCTTTAGCACAAACTCTTACCGCTACAGTACTACTAGCATTTGTATTTGTACGAACTCTTACTACTAAGTCCATCTGGATGACATTCATGATATATCAACACTAGGAAAGGAAGCTAAGGCTAATGTACTATGGCAGAACTGTGGATGCTGGAACTCACTGTTAATTATAAGTGCTACTTAAATGTCATCCAGATGGCTCAGACAATGCTGCTTATACAAAGTTACGAAGGCAGGACTGAAATATCAGAGGAAAATCACCAGAGGATTAGCAGAGAGACTACTTGCATTTGTATATAAAATAAACAAGGTAAGGGGGGGGCCCAGAGAATAATAATGAATGGAAATTTAATTAGTAAACTCACTTGCAATCAAAACTAACTCTATCCAGCCACATTCACCTCTAATAATCTCTAGGTTCAGGAAGCTCACCCCATGTTCGAATGCATCCCCTTTTAAGCAGTGTGCGCCAATACAATTCCAAAGGAAAGTTTTAAAGAGATTCATAACTGTAGGTTTGTGCTGACGAAATCATGAACTTGAAAGAGGTATAACAAATGGCCAAAACATTTCAAGTCAAATGAGACTGACATTTGTTACAAGCTTTGATGCAGACCTGTGCCAGCAGTCACATATGTGAATGTTAAAAAAAACTTTCATTAGAAAAGACAGTTACAGACCACTTGACCATGGTACCCACTTCTTCAAGCTGTAATTCTGCTTCACACAAGCTCACAAACACAAACCAGCAGTGTTTTGTATCTGCCCTTAAATTTGGCTTACTTTTAGAGTAAAGGAACAGGAACACTGCCAGTGAGGAAGTGAGAGCCTCAGGTATGAAGTTATTTTTCAGGTCATGCTTAGAGCTTTTATTTAGAGAACATGTTCTTCATTTTCTGTGAGAAAATTTAACACGCTATAGCCCTCCCATGTTAATTACCTTATTAAGAAGTGGCTGCAGCTTGGTGAGTGCTATAACTGTGGCTTCAATTAGAACTTGGCTGTTATAATTATCAGGGCCTTTTAAACAGCTCTCAAGTCCCTTTTAGAAAAAAACAGAACACACAATTAGATCTCGTTTTATACAAAAAAAAAGTACAGACCAAAGCGCCAAACAATTTTTCAATGCAGCTTCTAGTTGCGAGATGCTTCTAACAATTCTAAAGTAGTTTTAGAGATGAAAATGAACCCAGATGTGATCTACGTCTCGCTGAAAACAATTTTATGGTGCATATAAAAAAGTCAGGATGCAGTTTTGCTGATTTAAAGAGCAGCGAAGCTATTTCATCTGTGGGATTGAGCACGTCTACTATTTCATATACTGTTCAAGTAAATTTCAAGTGTTCAGAGCTTCAGGAGAACAATAAAATACTCCAGGGCAACTAATCTTTGCTGTTACACTCACCCACAACTGAACGGTCTACTTTCTCCTCTGATATTGCTAATGACTTTACTCAAATTAGCTGGATAGTTTTGAGAAACTTTTCTCCAGTTCGCTTTTCATTCAAATTCTCTTTATCTGCTTTTAACATCTGTTAAATGATATCTTCCTTCACTTGAAAAGGAAGTCACTAATGATGCAGATGCAGCTAAGTATTTGAACAAAGACATCCTCATTCATTCAAATACTGACCTCCTAAATTCAAACTCATTTCAATGCCCTGAATTCAGACAGAGACCAATTATCCAAGCATGCAATTTTTTTTCATACAAGTAGCACTATTGGATAAAATTATTCAGAGGAAATAAAATTCAGTGCTATTATGTTTATCCAGGCCAAATAAAAGCTGTGGCTGCAAAAAAAAAAAAAAAAAAAAAAAAAAAAAGAACTTTCTATTACGCACCTATTTCTTGTTCTGCACAAGACTTTCTCCTAAAAAAACCTTACTATACTTTAATTTCTGACAAATCAAGAATTTAATAGCAAGACAAAATGATTAGGTACTTTATGAGATACGTAAATGATGACAACAAAAAATCCTGTACCTTGCTGAGAATTCGGATTATTTGTTTTATCTGCCCATGGGACACTCGTTTACTGATACAGCCAAAGACAACCAGCGCTCTTGGCTGGAGGGATGGATTATACTGGAATGCAAACCTGTGCAAAAAACAGAAGGGTGCTACATTAAACAAGTTTCTTTGCAGAATAAACAAATAGCTTGTGTAGAAAAGGAAAAAAAAAAGCAAGAATTGCTAAATTACTACATGTTTTATGTTATTTTGCAGTCTCTAACATACTTCTGTGCTAGCTCCGTCCACTGGTCCAGCCACTTGCACGTTGGAATATCTCTCATACAAGCCTAAAACAAAAGAAATACTATTTGAATATGCGTAACATTAAGCAAAAGCACCTTTCAATTTAAAGCATGTACCTGTAGTTTCTCTAAAAAAAGGGTTTCTTAAATGAGTACTTATTCCAAAACCTAGTCATCCTACAACACTTACTTGCCTGATGACTTATTTTATGCACAATGTCTTATCTTATTGCTTTTTAATTCATACCTCCATGATCTCCAGCAAAGCTTCAGTAACTGTTTCCAGGGAAGTCAATGCAAATGTCTCCCTCTCGTAGGACCCAGGAGAGAACGACCTATCTCGATAACTGGATCGGAATGCTATGACAGCTGCTGATTTCACTTTGCTGATTCCAAACAGCAAATAAAATTTGGGCAGCGAGAACTCGGTCAGGCTCAATCTCAAAACTTGCTTGGTCTCCTCTGTTGAATAAGTTTGTATATATTAGATTTAATACAGAAAATCTCATCCCATGTATTTATAAAGACCTTCAAAACCAAGGCTTATTTGTGAGGAATTAGAAGTGAACCATCTTCCCAGCTCCATAACACCACATGCTTTTGTGCACATTTTAATTTTTTTCCCCGTGCTACTGGCCTGCATTTATGCCACTAGAAAAATTAATCTGCTGCATCTCAAATGGTGGTCACAGAGACTGAATTATGTTGAAAGATGAGCAGCGGGCACTTTAGTTGGGGAGATGATTACGTGAAGTCTCTCTCAAATGTGCTCTAAGAAATAAAAAAAGTGCGAAGAATAGCTGGCTTATAAATTTGCAAATGGTACCTGGCAACTCAGGTTTAGGCCAATTAGGTTTACAAATTCTGTTTTAGGCCAATAAGCCAAGTCATTTAATTAGTGGAAGCTGCAAGACTGATTTTTTCTGCATACCTAGTCTTTAAATTCACTACGCCTCAATTCTCCCACCAGTAGACTAGGGACATCAACGAGCTCTCTGGCTTCATGCAAAGATTATTTCCTTACTGTAGGTAAAGAGCTTTCAGATTCTTTAAACAGCACTCCATAAGTGCAAGTAAGAATGTATGATTAAGTAAGGAGTAGGGTCCGTTTAACATGCATGTTAAATCTGTGTGCGAGTTTGATAAGAAAAGACAAAGTCATACTTTCCTAATGAGTTTTAACCTAGATGATTCTAATTTTTAACTTGGGATCTCTGAAATGCAGAAAAAAAAAAGTATGCAAGTTATCCTACCTAATGCTTTAGTTTCACAATGGTCTTCCATAAGTGATTTTGGTTATAGCAGGTAATTTCCACATGCTCCCCTGCACTCACAGTAGACCAACCCTAAAGCAGCTCTGCTTTTATCTATGATCCAATACTATGCTAGACCTCCACCCCATCTTCAGCCTCATATATAATGACTTTGGAGAAACGAGGGGAAGACGACAGTTCAGGGAAACATTTGATAAAACAAGTAGCAATCGACTTAAAATAACATCTCGTAAGAACTTACCACTAAAGTGAAGCTGCGAACAAGTGCACAGAGAATGAATGATGTTGATGACCAGGCCATGGGTGGAAGCTCTAAGGAAAAGAGGACCAGTGGCCACCAACAAAGTAACTACATGGAAGAGGTAGGGGAGATGCGCTGCCACATCAAGAGAGTTGTTAAAGGAGAGCATCAGCATGTAACGTGCTAGAATGGCAATATCATCCCACATCAGGTGTTGTTCTAATGTAGGAGTTGGAGATAGACAGGTCTTGTCGATTATTTTGCACATCCTTCCAATTACCTGAAAGGGAGCAACCATTTTCTTTTAGTTGAAGCAAAAAACAGGTCTCAAAATTTCAGTTAAATCCTATTACATTTAAATTTAGTATGATTTGGATGATAGAAACACATAAAAAAATATATTGTCGTGCTGTTGCTTAGACCTGGTATAAAGACCAGTTATTAGATTAACTAGATTTAAGGGAACAGTAAAGAAGGGAAGCACTCACTTTGCTTGAAACCAGCTTCACATTTCCAGAAGCCAGAGCTACAGCTGTATCTGCCATAACCTCAGCTTTTATGGATCCTAAGCCCCCTGTTGCACTGGTTTTGATGAAACTGTCTAGCACTACATCAAGTAGATCAGTTATCTGTTGGAGAAATTAGTGTCATTCAGAAGTAAACTTAATTTGTCTGTATTAAGTCACCTACTAAACAAGTGATACTTGAAAATATGTATATGCTACGAATTAGAACATCAGTTTCAGTGATTTCTTAAGAAAAATTATGCCTACTTTAAAATAATAGTTGCAAGTCTGAATAAAGAGCAATTCCATTACAGCCATGAGTTTTAAGTATGTGCACTTATCAGCAAGAGAGCGGCCAAGAGGAATTAGTTTAAATCATTTGCTGTATCTTCATTCCCATTTAATCCATGTTGTTCAGTAAAGTACTGATTCTAATATAAATTGCATTTGATGTATATCAATTTGTCGAAAAAAAGTAAAATCACATTTCTGCAAAGTATGGCTTAAAGTGTAGCTATGCACCTTAGCTGTCCATAAAACCACATAATTCGCATCTTGCCTGAAATCAAGTTTTGAGAAAACCATATTAAATGTGGTTATAAGTTAAGTAATGCCAAAATGTTTCTCTTTAACTGTCCAGACCAATTACTAACACTGAATGCATGCCTAGGCAATATCTGATTGCTGATCCAAAATCCACTCCATTTCTTGGGTGAAATCCTGGTTCTCCTGAATGGTAAAACTCCCAAGACCCAGGATTTCGCTCTTTTAATTCCACATTCTTCATACTTGTCTGAATCAAGTTTCATATTGGAAATGGCATAATAAGAATGGCACTTGAATTGACATGATTTAGGATTGCAAGCTGTACTGATGTTTAGAGGTTCAAGTGAGTCAAACAGGAGAGGGAGCTCAACAATTCCATGCCGTACATTTTAAAGGAATTTTGTGAGGCTGGCTTGCATCATTTATTTTTCTGTGAGAAAATTAAAAAAGCATGAAAACGGAGAAGTGAAGAAGCAATGAGAAGGGGTTCACATTGTCAACAGGAAGGCCACTGCTAGCCAAGCAGAAAAGCAGGTGTGTATACTCATGGGGGGTAAAGCAGGCCTTGATTAGCTCAAATGATCTATCTGAATGTCACATCTGTGAGACGTTTTTCTGCTCCACCTTGTTCAGTCCTGGGGCAGAAGAGGTACTTGGGCTAAGGGCCATTTGGACCAGGAGATGGCCTTGGATACTTCTATGAATATGGTAAGGGAAGTGCTGAATTCTGCTGGTTTAAAAATGATTAGTGGTATTGGATTTTTTAAGGCCTACTTAAGATTTTTACTGTATTTACTTGAATTTAAGATGAGATTCTTTCCCCCAAATCATCAGGGAGAAAAAAAGCCCCTTGTCTTCAATTTGCATACAACATGCAGGGGAGGGGGGCAGGTGGATGCTGTGGCTTTGACTCTGGCTCTGAGCCCAGGTCAGGACCGGAGCCAGATTCACAGCAGACACATGCCTCCCCCCGCCAACTCTGCTTGCCCTCTGCAGCTTCTTCCCTTTCTCTCCTTACTGTCAGGTGTAGCTTGGTTTCAGCTTCGACTGGGTTCCCTCCAGGGCACAGAGCATGTGGAAACTCTGTCCTCTGCATGGCCAAACCGCAGTGCTGACACTGCTGCAAGGGGTAAGCTTCCACATGCTGTGCCCCAGGAGGGACCAGATCCTGAGAGTATCTGACAGTAAGGATGGGGGAAGGGGCAGAGGCTTTGGGGCGGTGGGGATGCGGGGGTGTCAGTGGTGGTGGTGAGGCAGGAAGGCTGCAGGAAAAAGAAGTGGGAGGAGGCAAGGAGGCCACTTGACGATCCCCAGACACTATTTTCCCTGCTTTAGCAGTGGGAGGGTGAGGAATTCAATGCAACCCTCCAATAATTAGATTTTATACTTGGAAAATTATCAAAAAAATTATAAATGTTCCGTATATAGAATCTAATAAAGGGGAGTGGGGTTGTCTTAAATTCAGGGGTGCCTTAGACTTAAGTAAATACCATAATTCTCCAAGTTCTACTGCTGTGGTAACACCCTTGAAATACCCTGCATTCCCTAGGTGAAGTTTTGAAGAACTATAATAAATAAAATCCAAGATACTTCCTAATCTTTAGGTCTCTGTAAAGGCTACAAGTATATGAAAACTAAACTATTATTCAACTGATTAAACACTGCCAATTTCATGTTAAATACACCAATACTGAATTTCTGCAGTGTCAGCACCTGTCCAAGGCTTCCCCATATTTTCGCTTGAATGGAAGGATACATCTGTTTTTCATTTATTGTCATTGTTATAAGCTTATCCAGAATCGCAGTGACTCGCTGACGTTTGGCATCATCATTGTGTTTACAGAACCGGACTAGATTTGATAACCACGGTGTCATGTACTCCAGGCAAAGGTGCTTCAGTTCAATACCTAAAATAGAAATTCATTTTATAATCAAAAAGCCAGTTTTGAACTCTTCCTCATACAGGCAGAAGACGCCTCAAACCAGGAGTAGAATTCAAGTTTTAGATAACGCCTTTAAAATATTAATATTAATATGGTCAGAAGATGAACCTCCGTGTCTTCTGAGCATCGTTCTTCCAGAATGAAGTGTTTACCATTAACATGGACCTCAGACTTTGTGAGGTTTGTTCTGCAAATATTTTGGAGGAATTCATAACACTACGCCACAGGCCCAACCAAAATGCTCACTGTACACAATGTCATAAACATGACAGTGTTTCCAACAAAACTTTATACCTCTAAACCAGGCACTTGGCCCATGGAGCTGTATGATCTGGTCCATGGGCTGCTGCCTGTGCACTATATGCAGTGCATGGGCTCAACCCAGTGCCATGGGAGTGCCCTGCCAGACTAGCTCTGTGCCCTGGCTGTGGGGCTGGTCTGGATTAGGCAAGGCCAGAAAGCCACTGCATGCAGCACATGCCCCGAGCCGGTCCGCTGTGCTGCATGTGCCATGGGGCATGTGAAGCTCCGCACAGTGTTTGCAGCACACACCAGCCCCAGGGCTTGTTGTGTACATGGCATACGGGGCTGGTACCGGGACAGCATGCAGAGCTGGGTCCAGCCTGAGCATCACAGGCAGCATACACGCCATGCTGGCCCCACATGCCCTGGGGTCTGATGCATGTTGGATGTGGGACCAGGTGAATTTGACACTCCTGCTCTACACAACCACTAACTGGCTTCACTGCTTTAAATCTCTTGTGGAGTTTTACGCCTTTATTTCAGTATCAAAAAACCTAAAGAATGTTTAAACCTTAGACCATTAAAGAGGAGAGGACCGGTTTCGGACAACATGAGAAAGAAGTCATATCAGCTTTGTTTTCTTCTCCACCTTAGCAGGTTCGTGACAACACTTGGCTCCACATCATTTCCTCACCTGCTGATTAGCACACACAAAGGATGGATAAACTCAATTTAAAACACCTGCAGCTTCTGTAGAATGAACCTGTAATTGAAGTCTACTACATTAAAGGACTGACTCAATAACTTAAGTGTTTAATTAACTCAGTAACAGAGCCGTTAAACTTGAACTGCTTGAAATTCACTGTTAACATGAAACAAAATAAGCATTACTTACTAGATTTGCTAAATCCAGAGATGCACTCTTCCAAAAATTCTAAGGTAAGGTGTGGCTCATTAGCTGCCAGGGTTTTACTAATAGACACAATAAAAAGGGTGTTGTTGGCAGGGATACAGAGACCTGAAGTTTCCAGTAACTGACCCTCAATCTTTAAATTAAAGGTACAGGTTAAGGCACACAGAAGATTATAGGCAGCGGACCTGCAACAAAACATAAATACTACATTTTAAAGTAGCTCTCTTATGAGTCTTAACATTTTGTACACAGTAACTACATTCAAATAATATGAGAGTGGTATTAACATTAACATTTAGGCTGGCTTCACCATGTAAGAAAATCAGTGTTTGGCTCCTGAACTTAATTTTGTCCCTCTTAAACCTCTAGCAGAGCCTGTGGGCATTGTGGAGACAGGCTTCGGCATCTGGGAAAGCGAGTGAGCGCTCTCTCACTTGCATTCGCCACTCTCTGATAAACTTAAAAAGCATCACTGAAGGGCTCCATGTTCCATTATTTTAAGATAAAGTCATTAAAATGACATGAAATATTTTTTGGGGGGGAGAGAGGAAGGAAGGACAGATGAAGCACTCTAAAATGACTGCCAAGGGAAAGAAACTGTCAATGATTCTTCAGACCAATATGAAAATCAATGTAAATATCAGAATGCAAATAATTCTTCCACTAAAGAACTTTGTTTTATCCTCTTTTGTACCTTGGAAAGTCTCCCTTGTTTATACAGGTAAAAGTATAAGTGCTTATATTTTACACGGGTGCACTTTATACAAGTGAAATATAAGCAGAGTAAAGCAATACGAGAGAACTAACCAAAACCATCAGAATTTTGCACTTAATAGCGATTCCAAAATAGTGTTCGGAAAAGTTCAAAATGCCATTCCATTTGACCTTTTTCAAAACATGTCAGAGCTACTCAAGCCACCCTGAATCTCAAGAGGCCTGAGAGCCACACAGCTCAGGGAGTCGGGGGTTTCCAGGCTAACAAGGAGCCAGAGCTGCAACAGCCTAGGCTCCACTGTGCCCTGCCTGTCTGGGCTGCTGAACAGCTGTAATTCGGAGACTGTTTAACCAACCAGGTAAGTTGCCAAGGTACTGAGCAGGTAACCTGATAGGAAACTCAGCAACAAAGGGTAGCTTCGTTAAAATAAGGGCGCTTATTATATATAATGCGTTTTAGGAGGAACAAGAGAAAAGGAGTTTGCATAAAAACCAATATATTTTAGCAAACAACAACAACTGAAGCTATGCAAAAAACTGGTTTTGCTTTTGAAAAAGTCTTATTACCAAAGGGTAAATTGCACACTCATGGGGTTTTCATGGAGTTACGTTTGCTTAAACCACTTGGTAAAGGAGCAGAAACAAATCCCCTTTTTCAGCAAAATACATATGAATTTAAGAGATCTCTACCGCAAACTTGGGTCTGAGCTTCCCAGATTAAGCAGTGCTATATTCAGAAGCGTTCCAGGAACATCCTTAGGACGGATTTTCGTATGCTGCGGAATGGAATCTGGTTGCGACAGCTCCCATCGAGTCCTTATGTGGATGATGGACTGAACGATGGCTTCGCACTCCTGATGCATGAAGGTAAGTGGTGTGCCTTGGTTGGCAATCGTTAAGGTGAACTGGTTCTCATCAACCAGGCATATTTCCTCAATCTCAGAGGCATAGTAAATGTCATTCAGAAACACTGTTTGGCCAAGGACTCTTGTTCGCTCTGCTGATGTTACCTGCACAGCAGTAGACCCAACCTTTAAAAAAAAAAAAAAAAAAAAAAAAAAAAAAAGGAGAAAAAGCAGGCTATAATTCAGTGCCTGTTGTTTATCGGCAATTATGACATTGCTTTTTAAACAGGAAGAGTGGCTGAAATTATAATGACTAAAACTCATACTAAGCAACGTGATGTGCTAACTATTGGTCGTGTTTTCTCCCTGTGATCTCATGAATGCAAGACAGTAAAACAATATGCAGACGTGATGATACACAACTCTCTTCCCGGTGAATTGCAAAGTTACACTTACTTTAATAGAAACTTTGGTGTCCTTGTGGGCCAATTTGAGTGCGTTATGGAAAACCTTCAGGTCCTCTTCCAAAGCCAAGGTAGCTGCTGGAAGCTTCTGCTGGTCGTGTTCAATGTGCTCTGCCAATTTCCCAGGTGAGTCTATGAAAATAAGCCTTTTGCTGCCCTTCAGGCCTGTCAGAAGCCTTTCATGGTATTTTGTGTATTCTCTGACCCAGGAGTTACAGTTGTAAATAAAAACTGCTGAGACATTTTCATAAGCAAAGCCTGGAAAAACTACAAACCACTTGGAAAGGAAGTCTGTTTTAAACCGATTGCTGGGGCCCGCGTGAGTGAGGTCCACTACAATCTCATATGGCTTAGCATAGTATGGCTTCAAAGTTAGCAGGACGTGGTATATCAGTAGGTCGCCATTGATTTGACCCGTCTTGAACCTACAAAAAAAAAAAAAAAAAAGGAAAATGTATTTTACACAAATTGCCATTATTTCTTTAACCAGGACTTCAGGATAAGCTTGTAGCTACCCCTACAGACCATATCTTCCAAACCAATGATAATGGATCTGCAGTGACTGGGCAGACAATAAGCAAATAACATCCATTGCCATTCACCCTTCGCTCGTCTATATTACACTGAACATTAGAACCAGTTTTACTTTGCGAGAAAATAGAAGGATGACACTTTTCATTCCTTTTTTCATCCACTTTTCATTTGGAAGGAGGTTACTGTATAGCCAAGCAACTCTAGGAAGACGCGATGAAGAAGCTCTGTTCAATTTCTCAAACGAAGGAAGGAAAAACAACAACATATGCTGGAGAGGAACTGGCATATTAACTACCTCAAAACTGTATGACACATCTGTAGTTTGGATCTCAATTCATTTATTCTCCTACACTTTCAAATCCCGCCTATGCTGAAACATGAAAAAAGTTATTTATTAGAGAGGTGCTGTCTGAATTAAGGACCTACAGCCTTTTTCTTACAAGCCATCTTTTGAAGGGCTTGTTACTTGGATATCTTCTTTGCTGTAAGGTAGAAATTAGCACTTTAGTGATTAATCAGGGATGTCCAATAGTAGCCCCCTGACTAATAAAGATTCTGTGCCGGTTTTGTCTTCTGAAACCATTTTTCCAGCCAATTAAAAATAAAACCTAAACATGCATTCCTTTTATGTAAAATTGCTGCTTTGCACCTTTGCGAAATGACAGTCACCTCCCACATAAAAATCCCCAGATTTCTGAATGCTAGGTATACTGCATTTTGCTTTCTTTAACCAAAATTGAAATCAAACTCAATAGCAGATGGTGAAAAATCTGATACGTTTATGTGTCTACAATATCTCAATGCTACCACAGATATCTTCCAACAAATCAGGAGACAGCATAAAAGCAGAAATTACACGAATACGATGCAAGTTTTTGGGGTTTTTTTAAAGCTAAATGTAAAAGTTAAACAATTGTGATTGCACTGGAAACCCTATTTTCTATTTTACCGTCTGGGCATAAGGTAACAAAGATAGGTTTTTCTGCCCTAAAGGCAGAGATTTTTTTTCTCTCTCTTTCCTGTTGTTCTGAGAGCTAATTTGGGCAAGATTGGGTTCCCGCCCCCCAATGCCTAACATGTCATGGTACAGTTGCTGCAGAAAGGAAGTGTGTCATCTCTTGTGGTTTCATCTTTTAAGTGGAGCACCAAAATACATTTCATTTTAGTAGCAGGTTCACTCTTTTTTAAAAAAAAAAAAAATAGCTATCTTCCGGTCCATTTGCTATATATTGACGGCTAGTTTCATCCTAAGAAACAGCCCAAGAAACACTTGCTAACCTGGGTAGAATAATCTGAATTTCAACTCTTATTTTGACCATAAAACTTTCGGCAAGGTAGGTGCACATTTGCTTTCTTTTTCTTCAATTTCACTGTCAGGTTTGTTAGAATTTGTGGAGCCTTGCAAGCAGGAAGTGTTTTACAAAGCTTTAAATAACAAAGATACTAACTGATGACAGTCAGTAGCAATAAGAAGTATACTTTTTCAACTACATTATTTAGCTTGTGTGCAGGAAACGTACTAAAATTACATAGGTTAAACTAACGTGGTGCATATTCCAGAGCCGGAAGGAAGAATTAAGAGTGGCAGTTGCTACTTAGCTCTGCCATGCCTATATTTTACAGATCCTACTATATGCTGACAAAAGATCTTATCAACTCCTAAGCAACGAAGGATCAGCTAAAGAGACTAAAGCAACCTTTTAATTATCAATTCCTTTGCTTTCATGAGTTTAAGTGAAACCCTTAACGTTGCCAGTTGGTTTATTTTGAACAACAGTACATCTGGTCCAGAAGGCTCCAGTTAACAGTGGACTCATTGTACTGGCAGTAGGAGTAGGCAAAAGCACTGTTAGGATTGTGCGAGAGAAACACCAGATGTTTCCAGTGCTTCCACTGCAGTACTAGTGGAACTGTACAGGACAAATCCATTTCATGCACTCCAGTTAGACATTCTGAACTAAACCCCTAACTGCTATGATAAAAATATACACATTAATCCAGCTAGTATTTCTCTTGTTTTTGGCTATGTTAACAGGCAACCCATAAATAATATGCAAAATTTGGAAATAAAAATCCTGTGCAGGCGGCAGTTTATATGCCAGGCAGGTTTCTTGCTCAGACCGGAAGGGGGATGCAATGAATTTCACTCTAAAGGTGAAATGTAAAGGGAAAATGCATGCATGCCCTTTACTTCATGACATAGGAGATCAGCCTCATACGGGTTTGGTTTTGGTTTTTTTTAAACGAGATCATCAGGAATACTTCTTCCTTTACCTTGCTGGCACATCTGATCATCATTCAACATCTGCAAAGATACTAAAGTTTACACCAAGGTCATCTTTCTATGAGTTTGGGATGTGGTGCTTCAGATGCTGTTAGCTTTGTTAAAACCTTTAACCAACTGAAAGTAAGGAGATGCTAGTTAACATGCTTCACAAGAGAAATGCAGGTATTTTATCCATCACCATCTTTAAAGCAGCAGTTCAAATACCAGGAGTATTTGTAGGAGGATAGTCACGGAGTGGGCAGTCCACATTTAACTTTGTAACATACTATATATAATGCCCAAATGAAAAACATGGAACCTGGAGAAAATGACACTGATGAAATAAAATTTACAGGGAAGCAAAAGGCTGCAGTCTAAGAAAGCTCATGTCAATTTACTTTATTATACGTATTTTGGTACTACCTCGTTTCTCTCAGGATCAGGGCCCAGTTGTGCCAGATTGCAGAACTACTTACTGAACACAATCTGTGCCCTAAATAATTAACAATCTAAGATCTTCATTCCTGCAAAGAGTTTTAAATGAATGCAGCTGCCTTTCAGAGCTGAGCTCCTTGATGGATAAAAAAACCTGATTCCAACAAATAAATGTAATCTAGATGAGGGAAAAATATTGAGGGAGCATGGTAACAAAACAGAGAACATTATGCATGGCTCCCCACCCTCTCAATATTACTTTTAAGTTGGACTTCAGATCAAACTAATTTGGAAATTACCTTCCTCTCCCCTTCCCTCTATAGTTCTCAATCAGCACAAATTTAAATACCACACAGCTAATAAATGGAAATATGGCATTGTCAATGAGAATTTGCACGTACTCAATAGTTTGAAAGAAAACGCACTGAACCTTTCTGAGTATATGTCTAAGGAAAACAGCCATGATGTTTTTTCAGTCATTCCAGTTTAAAAAGAACTCTCTCTTGAGTGTGTGTGTGTGTGTGTGTGTGTGTGTGCGCGTGTGTGTGCGTGTGTGTGCGTGTCAATGTGAAATAGATTGAATGTATATTATATTGTTTATTTTAACATACACCTATTTCATAGATATATACACTCAAGAGCGAGTTCTTTGAAAATATGTGGGCTAATACGTATTATGCATCTCCTAATAAAGCAGCTTTGACACCAGCTTAACTAGTGTCTTGTTAGGGTCTTACGCTAGGTTACAACTCCAGCACTTTCCACTAAGATAGCTGCCTTCTGTGGTGAGCTCAGAAATTACATTTTAAATTGAGAATTAAAATTAAGCATTTTTATTTGACCTGATTAATGCTCCTTTACTGTCAACTTTCATACAAACAGATCATGGAAAATGGTCCCAGATCTCATATGAGAAAGTCGAAAAACCATTACTTAAAACCAATGGGAATATGCTAAAATTAAAGAAAGATTTTACTTTAAATTTAGCAAAACTGTCTTGGCAGCTGTTACAAAATTAAGATGTAGCAGTACAATAACTTCAAATTAAAACCTGTCATCCATGAATTTACCATTCCCTTTTTGAACCTGGCTATGCTATTTACCTTCCCCACCTCCTGCGGCAATGAATTCTACAAGTTAACCACGTGTTGCACACACAACTACTTTCTCTTTTTATTTGGTCTGATTATTAACCCCTTACTGTTAACTTTCAGACCGACAGATCAGGGAAAGTAGGCCCAGCAGAAAAAAAGCAGAAGTGACTGACTCAAAGCTGAATTAGTTAGAGAAGGAACTACCACAACCTAGTCCTGACTTCTAAATGATCTGAAATACACATGAACCTCACACACATTTTTTTTTCTTTTTCTCGTTTGTTTTGGTTTTTGTTTTTTATGTTTTTTTTTTTTAAATAGAGCATCTATGTAAGTCTAACCATAGAAGTCCTGTTTAATTATGCAGGAGAGAAAATTCAAGAATACCTATTCTCTTCGTATTTCATGTAGTTGAACTCTTCACAACATGATCAAAACTATATGAAATTAAGTTACTGCAAACCGAGTTGTGGAAATGTTCGTGGCAGCTGCCTAGTATTTCACAAACGGACCTAATTCAAGCCTTTAGCACCAATGGAAGTGTACAGTTTTAACTCAGCAAATGTATTTCTATATTTATTTATTTTTATTTGATTTGCAGGTGACTATCCATCAGGAACAGGAAAATGTCAAGGCCCCATAAAGCGTATTTTGCTTTCCTTGCTGTGACAAGCTTTTCATTGTGCTTGCAAATAATGGCAAACCACACTAACGATTCCAGCTACTGGAGCTCCCCTACCCAAAATCTAAGTAAAAGCTTGAATGTAACTTATACCAGTACAACTCTTGAGCTAATAACAGACGACAGTAGCAAGACAACAACTATTTCCACAATGCGTGCAAGCACCTTTCAAACCTCACCTGCTACATTTGGACGGGAGCTTTCAACAGCTTTCCCTGTTCTTAAAGTAACTTCCCCAGCTCAAGGCTCGAGACCGACCAGAAAGACCCCGAGCACAACAACAAAGACTGTAACTTGTGAAGACAGTAAACCTCTTATACTAGTTTGTTTCATTATAATAGCAGTGCTCATCCTTGCTTGCACCTGTTTCATTCTGTCAACGGTGGTGATGGCAAACAAAGTGTCCTACCTCAAAAAATTACAAAAAGTCAAGCGTGCGCCAAGAAGTAATGGCGATTTTCTGGCGACAGGCAGTTTATGGCCAACTGGATCAGGCACGTGGCAGAGAATGACTAAAGAGGTAACAGGGACCGACTTAATGATGCAAGACCTGATGTCAGAAAGAGCTGCTACAGTTCCAAGGAAGAGTGAAGATGGAACAACTGAGATCCTCGCTCAAGAAAGAGAGACCAATCAGAACAGCCAAGGAACGTCAAAACCGTGCAACAGGATCTTAGTCAATTTTGAAGCTGAGATTTAAGGAAAGCTCAGGGTCCAAGGAGAGAGAAAAATACAGCCTTGAAGTAATATTCTGTTTTAACCACACACTGTTGGATTGAGATCCAGATTTGAGCTTTCACTCTATGGGACAGGAGACTGTGGTGCCATGCAGCTTCACTGGGAGGGAGTGCAGCCTTGTGCTTATTCTTTCGGTCCTTTAAACGGTGACATAAACGGTGTTAAACAGGGGCCCGGTCCATTGCTACTTCTAGAAAAAATGGCTAGCCAAGTGGAAATAAAGCAGAACAACATTTTGGAAACGTTTTGCTGCAACAGAAGCTCTCAAATGAGAGTCTGTAAATCAGTAAAGATCTGCGGACAACCAACTCTGCAGTTCCTCCTCGCACTGATCTGCTAAATTAAGAACCATCTAAAAATATGAGACAAAGGCAAGAGCTGTAGTTGCCAGGGAGATGTTGCAAGACAAATGGGTGGAACGGTCCACGTAACCACAAATGTGAGAGGTGTTCCCTAAGACAGCCTCTGTATTAATACATGCTCTGGACAGAAGAAATATAAAACCAACAGACCACATGCTGTGTGATTCAACCTCGAAAGTCTGTCATTCTGAGCTATTTTTGCTAGCATTAAACTGCCACCATTTAAAGTACATATACAGCCAAAACGTGTTTTCCCCTCTGCTCGATCACAACTTTCAAAAGGCCAGTCTGCAGCCAGGGATGTCTGCAGTGCCTTAAAGTTTGTACAGAAACACGTACACATCTTGTTCAAACATAATAAGGATAATTTTCTCAACTTGGCAATGCCAATAAATATTGGCAACAGACTTTTAAAGTAGTCTACGCTTCCGTGATCTTCTTCATTGAACTCATTGATGATAAAATGTAATATATTGTTTCTATTGTGGAAAAAAATATCTACTAAATCTCTGTTACTACTGGAAATACCAGGGGAAAATTAAAAACATCTCATTCTGAAGAAGTTTATAGTCATGAATTCACTGGGTTATAAGACCAAAGATGAAATTTTGCTACTTCACCCAGACAATTAATACAATGAAATAAGCACTAAGGACCATTAAAGAAGCGTCTTTTTTACATAAGGGGATCAGAGTGAGATTTCTTTCAGTATTTCTTCACTTTTGGAGGAAAGAGCCCCCCCTCTGCTAGAGAACTAAATATTGCTGGTCTTTTGGATAGATGTTTGAACCAACTTTCTCTAAACTGAAGATTCACTAGCCTGAAAACAGGAATTTTTGCTGAAGGTTTTGCAGTACAAAAGCACTGATGCATTGCTTCACAAATCAGTCAGTAAACCTGTGGTAGTTTGTAAAAGCCAATCCAGCAATTGAAGATTGTTGTCATTGTGCGTATTAAAATATAAGTGCCTTCAATACTATTAGCAGAATTCTGTAAAATGAAAGTTTGTCCCATGTGACATAACGCATTACTTTTGTAGATCAAGTTGCTCATATTTTCTCTAACTGTACTGGCATACAGATGTGTAATAAAATGTGTCGCATCACTTTAAAATGTGTGTTTGAAACGTAGTAATCTTTGTATTTGTGCACACGTGATATGAGAGAAAAGATAAAGATGAGGCACACTTTCTGTAGCAACTTAAGAGGAGAGAATCAGAGACCAAATCAGTGGAAGAACATGGAGAGGGTAGGAAAGAGAAAGCTGAAAGCAGACAAGTGCCAATCAATGCCAGAAAGGCTGATTGATGGGATATGCAAAGGACAAAAAAGGGAAATATCAAGAGACCAGCTGATGGTTGAAGACGGCAAATTCAGAGCACATATCAGACAGAAAAACAGTACTTGGTGAAGACGTAGTCAAATAAGACCTTTCTGCAAATGGGCAGCTGAACCAGAATAAGAGGTCACATGAAGAGGGGAGGGTAAAGCTGTGATTTTTTCTAGAGAGAGCAAGAGAAGGAAAGGAAGGAAACAGAGGGAGGGGGAGGAGAAAAATGGTGGCATGAGACTGGTGGAAGTAAGGCAGGGCTGTGGAAGGTGGTTGAACAGGATGAAAGTTTAAGATGAGGAAGAGTAGCGGAAGAAGAGGGTGTGGATGCTAAGTCTGTGGTTGGGCTCATAAAGGGAGATGAGGATGTAGAGAAGAGAAGCTGGTTAGGCTAGTGGGAACTGAAAGAGGGGTAACGCTTACAGGAATGGGGAAATGAAGCTAATGAAGATAGTAGAACAGATGCTATAATACAGAAGAGGGGCATGATAAAAGCCTTTGGGAAGCAGCAAGTGGGCAAGGTTGCAAAACATTATGAGGATACATTTGCAGAAACGCCTTCTACTACGCAGCTGGGAAGATCTTGGGAGCAGGAAACACCAAGATCTGACCAGCCCACAGAAAGTATGTATGTTCCCAAACACATGCCCATGGCAGCAACTGAAGCAGCTTACATGGATAAGTAATATTAGAGAAGTTGTCAGTGTGTAGAGCTATCTGCCTTTTACGCAACTCAACACATGAAAATCTGGGAGGGGGCCAGTTCCATGTGATCAGCCATCTGCCCCAAATCAAAACTTCTCAAACTGAGGACTAAAACATCAGAAACACAGGAGCACCCTCTCCCCCCCCCCACCCCACAGCAAAAACCACTGAAATTATCAATAAAACTGTTAACTTCAATCCACTTTACCACAGTTAAGAAAGTTGCTCTTGCTCATATCTGCTGCAGACATAGACAAAAAAAGCAATCAAATGTTTTTAACATGCAAAGCATAAGTTGAGAAAAAGACACATTTGACTGTCTACATGTTTTTGTCTGGTAGAGAACACAGCCCAGAATTAGGTCTTAAAGTGTACAATCTGTGAAGATTAAAACTCTTAGTCACCTCCCTGCTCTTGACACTTCCTGCAGCAAGTATTGCTAAACTTCCTCTTTACATGCAAAAAACCTTATTTCAATATGAGAAAGGAGACCATTTTAAAAGCTGCTTGACTTGCAACACCCATTCTGACTTAGTCTTCAAACAATAATGTTAACTTGATAGATGAAGCCATCTTACTGAAAGACAGTGCAGGACAGGTAAGGAACAGATTCTTGACAATAAGGCTTGATTCTTGTTGGGTGTTTCTTGCTTGCTTAATCAGACAAATGCATTTGCAAAAATCTTACTTGGAACATTTTTGAATGAATTTATTGCTAACACATGGGGTAACCTACAGCAGTTTTAGGACGTGTGTTACCTACATGCATGAGTGTTTTGAGCACATCTCTATATTGCTAAAAAGTTGCTAGTAGAATACACAATTCTCATTTCTACATTTTTTTTAATGTAGAGAAAATTCCCAGGCAAGTTTTTAATGTTAACTACACTGACGTTAATAGCTGTATCCTACTGAGCTTTTAATAAGGTCTTCATATAAGTGCCACTTGAATACACTTTGCAAAGAAAGAGTACAGAAGAAGCTGGAACAGGCAAATGTAAGTATTAATTCCGAACTTAAACACTATCCTGAAAAATACTTACACAGAAGTATTAACTTATCAGCTGCATATGCTCCCTGGTGTAATTTAAGCGAGTACATCTAGATAGATAAAAAACCTCACTCCTACTTTGGGTAAATTCAAAAAGAGGTTGGATGAACACCTGTCTGGGGTCGTGTGATCCCAGCATGTGCTCCAGCCAGTGGCGGGGGGTTAGACTAGATGATTTATTCAGGTCCCTTCTGAACTCTAACTACTATGAAACTATGTGCATGTTAACTGTATGCACTGAACCAAGTCCTCACCAGGACTATATATGTGTTGAGGAATTAATTCTTCATGAAGTTTCAATACACAAAGTAAACCAAAAGCAGCAGAACATAGTGGAAAGATTTGATAAGCTGTATTAGTCTCATTTAGATCGATACCTTTGTAGTTTCAAACAAAAATAGCAAAAGCCACTCTGTTGCAGCAATATAGGTTTATATTTACATTTTCTCTCCCACTTCAACTACTGTGTAGGCAGAAGTCCATTTATGGTGTGGAATTTGGATCCTAACATTAGATCATATTTTTATATGATCCTAATTCCACACCAGTAGCTGTATTAGGAAACCATCTTTTAAATGACATGCTCTAAGTTTTACTGTTTTAAATGACATGCTCTAAGTTTTATTGTTATCTGATAACAGCCAAGGCGGCAAGATAGATACTAAAAATACCGAAAAAAAGGCATTTCAATTAAGGACACTGGTTTATAAACCTCAAAATGTTAAGGTCCAAGATAAACTGGATGCTTTTCACTTTTGTAAAGAGCTGTTTGAAGTTGTATTTAAGTTTCCTGTTTACAATTAAGGGCTGGAACAATTGATACAGTTCCATTTAACTCATTTTAAGGAGGTCTTCTTAACAGCTTTTTTTGGCAAATTAAAAGAAATAAGCCAAAATGCTTTCTACAGCAAAACAACCTAAATCATATTGGAATGGCGCCTGTCCCTTCTAAAGTCATTAGCAAACCCAGCACTCACTTCAAAAATAGATTGTCTGATATATTTAAGAGAATATAGTGTCTATCTTATTTCTGGCAGATAACTTTAGTGCATAGTTTAGAAAACGGCAAATTAACAAAGGTGAACGTGGTTTTAACCATAAAATAAAAACCCATAGGCCAAATCCAAAATAAAACCAACTGGGCCATATTCTCTTTATACTGCAGGTGACAGCTTACCATTGTAATCACCAAGAGGAAAGTGGACACCAACCTCATAACCCGTTTTCTTCTACGGACAATTTTGAAGACCACTTTCTACAGAGACAGAGACACCACCAACAACTGGTTTAATTAAACCAGGAAATGTATCCATCAGTCCTGAAAGTCAAATAGGAAACAGATCTCCCATACATTCATACCAATCAGGCAAACTTGACTTGTACAGTGCTGAAAGACCAGTCAGTAGCGTAATGCCTCCGGTCAATGGAGAAGAAATGGAGCCCCGCAATGATACTAGCTGGATAGCTGCTGTGGTCATTGGCATAATTTTGATTGCTATGATGGTAGCTATTGTTATAATTCTCCTATGTAAGTGTGCCAAAACGCAATCTCTAACTAATCCAAACTGGGCTGGCCGTTCCCCATTTGCTGATGGACAAACACCGGATGTCTTTGTAGAATTGGACCAGGCCACAAAACGTGCATCAGTTTTTTCTATCTTGCCTTGGATATATAACAAAACCACACACTTATCGAATGATTGTCATGCATCTGAACAGAGCTGTGATGCACCCAGCTGCAATACAGCTACCTTGTCTCTCCCTCCTGTACAGGATGGACCCAGATCACCAGCACACAGCAATCCAGTTTCTCCTTCAAGTGATATAAATGTGCCCCCATCTCCTGTTTCAGAAGAACAGAGCCCTTGCAACCCTCCACCCAACACAATTCCTTCTCTACCAGAGTCACCAGATATGCCACTGCCACCAGACTGGATGCAGGAATTTCCTGAGATTCATTCCTCTGAGATCAGCAATGGCACAGAGAATAAACTGGAGGCAGAGAACCCATTTCCCCCACCTCCTGATTTGACACATCAAGATGAAAACGAACCACTACCGCCACCTTTGCCTGAAGAACCTTTACAAATTGCTGAGTTTGCTGTCGAACACACTTCATGCTTACCTTAAAAGGGACGTTTTAAAGCCAACAAATACGAGAAGTTGGTGGGATCACGGACTGTGAAGCCACAGCTGCATTAAACTTTAGCATTTGACAAGTGGGAACCTAAAGAGATTTGGCTTGAAGCTAATCACTTCAATACATGGTGCGGATAGCAGCAACTATGCAAAGTCTATTTCCACGTGTTTAAAGCTACAAACCAGAAAATATTACACGCAACTTTCAAAGCGCAACAAGCAAAGCTTTTTAGGAAGGTACAGTTTACTAGGCTGTATAACTAAATCTAACAAAGGCACCTTAGCAGCACACTTTTCTTATATTCTTGTTAACTTTTAATAAAAGAGCTTTAATACGAAGTTGTCTTAGTGACTTGTATTCTTAAAATACAACTGAAGTTATTGGATAAGGCCAGATTAAAAACCAAATCCCAATGTTTAGACAGACCAATAACTACTATATGCTATCCATGAGTGGCTAGGTCCATTTATAGTAAATGAGTTATTTCTACATCACAAGCAAGTTATGCGTTTTACAGTCAGTCATCATAGCATCCATGCAAAAAGGGGGACCCCTTCCGATTTTTCTTTATTGAGAAATGATCTAAAATCTGAACAATCTCTCTCAATCTTGGACTTTCTGCAGCATTGAGAACTTAGGTTTTCACATCCAGCTGAAAGAGAAACTACTGTTAAGAACCTTTCTTTCTGGCAGAAGTATAAAATAGATCGACTGTGTTTCGAAGGATTGTTTATAAAAAAAAAAAAAGGCAACAATACTTTATATTTGCAGCTTAGCAGACAAGGAAGTTGGCTGGCTCTCTCTCAAAAGTTCAGCAAATGTTGATGATATCTCCCTGTGATATGGGCTTATTGCAGTGTCCACGCTCATCAAGACATATTTATAAATATTAGTTAAAAAAAACCTGAATTAAACTATTTGGATTTAAGAGAGCAAGACATACAGTAAAGAGCTATTCCTCCAGCTACGTGTTTCTGAACAGTATAAAGGCTTGGCAAAGTGTGTGGGGGTGTTGTTAGCACAAGAATATAAAGTGCATCGGGGTATAATTGTGAGTGATATGCAATGTGGTAAGAGAGAGGAAGAAAAGAGCCCATGGAAGTCTCTTACTGGTATGGAATAATAAAATGGAAGAATTAGACTTGAGATCAATTTTTAAGTAAGAGCCAGAACCACAAAAGTCATTAACCACAAGTTCTCAAAGAAATATAGTCAAAATGCAGTACGATTACAGGCACTCAAATCACATAGTCTAAATCTGAATGAATAATAGTTTTGCCTGTAAGGATTAGGATTAGGTCTGGATTTTGCAGAGCAGTTTAAAGGCAGGCTTTGAACACAAGACAAACTTTTGAGTCAAAACACGCAGCCTTAATGAAAAGGATACAATTTACCTTTACAAAAGTAAAATTAATACAAATCCTAGATGCAATGCTCATGTACAGTATGCTTAGACAAAGAATTCATTAATGTATTTCCAAAACTGCAATCTTTGGATGAAATAATGATTTTTGCAAAGATTAACTCAATGGACTCTTATAATGGATCACGTTAATGAGCACTCTGCACTGCATGCTATGCAGCATGCTGTATGCGACAACAGAATTCACTTACACTTGTGAATGAGCATGTTGAAAATGTAACAGCTTTTACAGCTACATTTTGTTTGCCGCAAGGAAGGACACATACAAATGAGTATTTATGAATTGTGAAAATTATCTGCAGAAAAATCTTTACAAACGTTTAGATGTCCTACCATCACGTTATTCACATCTAATCATGCTATCAACTAACAGAATTAAAGGGATACCACCAAATATTATTAAGTGATTGGTAAGATACATTTGTCAGTCTCACATAACCTGCAAAAAAAAAAAAAATCCCGAGCTGTACTATATTGCAGCTGGTAAGCTACACTGACTTTCAGATCTTAACTGTGGAAAGCACATACTACAGTTTATTTTTAGTGTGTGCACGTGTGTGCGTGCACACACACACACACACACACACACACACACACACACACGTGTCATAGCAATGTGCATGTATATACCTACATGTACCATCAGCAATCCAGTTTTATTCAAGCTGAATTCTGCCCTCAAGTTGCACTAAGCAACATTTCAGTAGTGGGAAGGCTCAGATTTAAGTGAGGACAGGCATGGACCTGCCTTTGGACCCTGACTATTTTGATGAGATTGTGAGCCAGAGCAGAACTGCAGTATGGCATAAAAGGACTACTTTTCAAATATTGGAAGTAACTGGAAATCACGCAACTTCTATCTAAAACCATGTTCCAACAAGCAAAGAGCTTCATTATCCTCATGTATAATTTGGGGGGAAGAAGAGGGAGGGGGAGAGTGCAGCTCTTTTTTAAAAAAAGTATGTATAATTAGTGATCCAGGATGTAAATATTTCAAGGAAACAAAACGTTCATTTCCTAGGGAGAAACTGTCAGATGTCAAAACCACCACTCCATAAGCTTTCTGCAATGCAACTCCAGGATGGCTAGCTCTTCAGGCTCTCTGTGCCAGGGAGTATGCTTTTTGCATGTGGCGCACAGCACGTTGCTGTGAGACCATACAAAAATAGATAAGACTGAAAGCAAATTTTAAAAATTGCCACTGAAAAATAAAAACCATTTTGTTCTGCATATGCTTTTTGTCCATGGCTGTATATCAAAGTTAAATGGTTGAAAAAGTTTAATACCTGCATAAAATATAAGAAAAGGTATTTGGAGGAAAAACATTGCAAATACAGCCACGGTACATAATATTTTCGGAGAAAATGATATTGTAAAAAGATCTCAGGAAGGTTATCTGTAAAAATTCAAAGCTGTGTTATACTAAAGCTGATGAGATGCTCTGAAATTCTGATTTTAAGAGTGGACAATCTGAACTTCAAATGTCAAAATTATGAATGGTTTTTTGACAGGATTGTTGAAGAAGGCTAAAAACAGGATGCCAGTTTTAAGAGGCAATATTACAGGAGCGCAGCCTGAAACGAAGGCAACAAGAACACAGCACTTTCACGGCTGTTTTAAAATAGGAGCGTAAGTGGAATCATAAATTAAGGGAAAATCACTTAAAAAAAATTCTACTGGGTACTATCAGTGTAGTCAAACAGGCATGTTGCATTTTTGAGGCAGTGACACCTCTGGGAAAACGTGCATCTAGAAAAGTTAACCAACTCAAATCAAATCCTGGACTATTTTGTTGAGTATGCATGCCTTGCAATAAATTTGAGTCAGCACCAACGACAGCTCTGCAGTCCTGCGATGTAGTGCTGATCAGGTGGTTGCAGAGACCCAGCTAGCAGCAATACGATGCAGCTGAAGAGGCAAGCACAATTCACAGGCAGCAACTGTAGCTACTCTCTAGAACAAGACGACCTTTAAAGCTTACATCTTTCAGAGAAACGATGCACTGATCTTGCGGGAGGGTCCTTATTTCGGTAAGTGTTTGCTTTTCTGTATTTAAAAACCTACTACAAAGTTAGAATCAGAAACAGAAGACTGAAAAATATTGGTCTTTGGAAGCTGCTCACATCAAAAATTTGCTGCAGTGACAGAGATTTCATTCTAACATTAATTCAATATTCAAATATACATGTTGCCTAGCTGTCTAGCTTTACAGAAAGAAACGAAAGCTATAGCAAGGAAAAAATAAAACAACATGCATTTTGAAATATGGACGTGGACTCCTGGTTTCAGAGTAAAATTATTTAACTAGTCTAGAGGTACTTAAACAAATCTTATTTAAGCAAATACAGTGTGCATGGTGGGGGGGGGGAGGGGGAATGGCAACATTACTGCAGATATTTTTAAGGCAGATCCATTTGACAGCCATTTTTTCATTCCTGTTTAAATAAGCACATTATTCCAAAAGATAATATAGGCTTGAAATCGCTAGAACCCAAAAGCAGACATTGTATAACATTTGGAAGAGACTTGCATTTTCAGAAGAAAGCCCTCATTTGAGCTCGAGGGGGAATGGAGATGAAAAAACAAGTCTCATTCTGGCAGACAACATGACAGTAAATGAAGGGATGCTTTGTAAAGTCCCTCTTAAACAATTATAAAAAGGACTGTTATCACAAAGAGGTTCATTGATATTTTTACCTAACTTGTCCTGCAGTCCGAGCGAAGACAACCCTTGCAAATACATGAAGTATCTTATGTAGATTTAAAGGGTGTCATTTTGGTATATTTATTTGCAGGCAACCATGGAATACCAGATATTGAAAACATCGCCCTGTCTGCTGGTCCTTCTGCTTTTCATACCCACGGTTCTGGGCATCTGTCCTTCTAACTGTACATGCTCAGGAAACAACAGAAATGTAGACTGTTCAGGCAGAAACTTCACTACACTGCCACATGGACTTCAAGACAACATTACATACTTAAATCTGTCCTTTAACCAGTTTGTTGATCTTGATCATAAGCTGACCCGGTTCACCAATTTGAGGACCCTCGATATTTCAAATAATTGGCTGAAGAACATTCCAAATAATTTTATAAAAGTTCTTCAGAAACTGGATACCGCTTACCAGTGGAATCTTAAAGTGCTCGATGTTTCCAGGAACATGGTGGAAAGAGCAGTTCTGATCAACAATACACTGAGCAGCCTCAAGTGTCTCAACCTCAGCCGTAACAAGCTTTGGACAGTTCCAACCAACATGCCCTACAACATAGAAATGGTGGATCTATCGAACAACTTCTTGACCCAAATACTCCCGGGAACGCTGGTGAGGCTGCTACACCTTACAAAACTTTACTTGCACAACAACAAGTTCACGTATATTCCTGACAAGGCTTTCGACCGGCTCTCTCAACTGCAAGTTGTAACGCTTTATAACAACCCATGGTCCTGCGACGATCAGCAAAATATCCCTTATTTGCTGATGTGGGTGAAGGAAACACCTGCTGCCGTGATAGGGGCTCCATGCCCTAACCAAACGGTGACCTGGAAGAACGCAACTCCACTTCCAGCTGCACCCACGACTCCAGGTATGAACCTCATGGTTAAAGGAATGAAGGCAGCGGACACAACTGGCTCTTTGCTGGCAACTGAACCAACCAAAGAGATAAAAATGCATAAACAATTTCGAGCTAAGGAAGTTACACTAAGCGCTACCTTAAGCCAAACTGTATTATTTACCAGCACAGATAGGCCCTTACTTCTTTATCCAGAAGAAGTGACTGCTGGGAAAGTTAGTTCTCACGAAGCGGCGGCCACGCATACAATCTACATTCAAGATTCGACGGATGTGAACTCAAGCTTGGCTAGCTCGACGGGATCATCCACTACTCCCATGACCCTGAGTATTACCAGCGGGATGCCAACAAACTACTCTAAAATGCCTCAACAAAGCACAACCATTACCTTAAAGAAAGAAGAAACCACAACAAATATTTTTAATACTCGTGTGCCCTCGGCAGCAAGCGTTTGTCAAATGTATTCATTCTATATTGTAATGCTTAATGCAGTGGCAGTGCTGATTGGCTAATGGCTTGCATTCTTGTGAAACAAATTTATTCCTACGATAAATAGTTGGAGCAAAACCACCCACCATCTAACAATGACTCAAATACAGGAAATTCAGTTTTGAAATCCTTATTCTGATCCAAAAAATAACCACTCAAAACTAAAAATGCACAATTTATGTCTTGATACTAAGCTGCTACTTATTTTAATATGTCTTATACCAAGTAAAACTAACCTATGAAATGATTTTGTTTTTATGAAATGTGCTTATTTTATATTTCAATGTTTAATTTTCCTTGCACAAGAATAAAACATCAGAATTTTATGTACTGATTTTAGGTATGGTTTTTGTCATTAAACATCTGGAAAAAAAATAGAAGGCCTGTATCATATCTGCATTGTCTTGCTTGATTTGCCAATCAAGAATTCTTGTAAAATAGCAGTAATGGTCCTCTGTAAGTTAAAATGACATGCAAAAGGAAGGGAAAATAAAGAAAATAAAACTAACTGCTTCATTAATCAATAGTTATTTCTGGGAATATGACTGGCATGTATATCAGTGTTTGTTTCATATGTATTAGGAAATTTTAATATGAGTGGATATTTTTAAATTCAGGAATTAAAAACTGGACAAAACATCTCCTGGACTGGGGAAGATGAGTGAGGTGGTTCATTTTTTAGCAGGAAAAATAAGTATCAAGACACTTATTAATCTTCTGGCTTTACAACTGAATCTGGAACCTGAGACAAGTAATTTCTGATTTCTTATATTTAAACGAGGGATAACACAGAGTGGTTTGAGGGTAATGGATAACAAACAGCATGTGGATAAACTCATGATTTACCATTTTCCTAAACATCTGTCCATCAAAGAGTAGAGACATTTACTGCAGCACAGCTGATGTAAAATGGGTGGCAAGCGTATTTGATATGTAGTTAAGATAAAAGTTTTGAAACGGCGTGCAAGGCAGAAAATGACAACTGAAAAGGAGGTTTGTCCTGAAAGAAGAAAAAGCACTATTGTGCTCTCCACTTGATATATCATTTATTACAAACTTTTGCTGACACTTTTTCCATGCGTTGCGGGATACTGCTTAATCCCCAGTTTCCCATACCGTAAGAATCCTGCAAAAACCAGGGGAGCTCAACTACAAAGTTTAGTGTCCGAATGGCAAGCCCACTCCTCCTGGCTGCTAGATGAAGGATGTAGGACACACACAACCATTCTTCTAGCTACCTGGGAAAGGCAGTAGGAAATAGGAGTACCTGTGGGGATTGTGGGAATAGAGCGAGAATATGGGACTCAGGCCCCCGGGTCTAGCAAGCATCTGGAAGGGTTTTCAAAATTGCTGCAGAGATATATTCTAATAATTTCTTGGCTTGAGGATCCACTAGGTGTCAAGACTCTACAGATGCCCTTGTCAGAGGATCTAGGGAAATCCCTTATGGTTCAGGCATACCACGGAGGTGGAGTGTGTATGCTGAAAACTGCTGCTTTCTCAGAAGACACTAGCAGAAGTGGGGGTTTCAGTTGTACGTGTACCTGGTCTAAAATAGAGGCTAACATGACATAATAGCAGCAAATTGTTCATAAATAATGATCTCTGCCTTGCAGCTGTCTCAAGAGCCAAACTCCGCAACTAAAGTTATTACTCTTGAAACCACAGGAACTCCCAAATCCTCTCCTAAGTGCAAACAATGATTTTGTTATTGAAAAGAAATGATTCAAAGCTTGTTTTAAACAGCAAAACATAAATTGAATAACGAATTTGTACATGGTTTTTACTGGCACCCAAGTATTTTTTTTTAAGGTCATATTCAACCAAGATGATAGCAGCGCGTCTTAGTCTAAGAACTTAGTATAGCTTAGCATAATTATTACATAACCTCCAACAACTTCCTCATAACTATATCCTAAATAATAGATTAAAAGCCCTGCTGACCACTCTCTGAACAGCCTTGTCTTTACTATACTGATAGGTCACTTCATTCTAAACATAAAATTCATCTTAAAATTAAAGTTTCCGTCATCAGAGGAAAATGGTGGCCGCGATCAAATAGCAGGCACATACAAAAATATTATCTTGTCATAGTTACACTTTTTTCAGTTCTTTGTCTCTGATCTCATCACATTCATATTTTAACCTTTATACAGAGTGTTGTCCACAAAGGAACCAACTAAAGTATATACACTCTCTCACTACAAAGAAATTCAGCTCTCTCAGAGGTGAAGCCAGGCAGACGGTTTTGGACAAGTGAAACACTGCAAAAAATACTAAAGATACATGGACATTTCAGGCAGAACCTCACTATCCAAGCTGAAATAGAGGCAATCCCCAGCTCTTAACAAGAGCACCATGATCTTCTTCAATCCACAGTGAAGTCTAGATCCATGAAAGTATCTCATGATGAAAACTTCCCTACAGTTGAGTGAAAAAAAATTAATCTAGATTGGTACAAACATGCTGCAAGCTTAAATTTACCTCCAAAATCTACCCATCTGCCATCAGATTAATTCCACTAGCCAGTATAGGTATTTAAGAAATAGCAGTGCCTGCAGGAAAATGCCCCCTATTATTTTAATTAGCACAACTAGCCAAGCCTCTTATATTGGCAGAGTCAGAAGCTGCTTAGCTCGCAAAGACATGAACAAAGTGATATATATGACTGCGGGTTTCTTGGACACAACCAAATGCTTTCCGTTACACTGGACACCACACATACTCTTGCTGGGTAAAGCATTTAGTGATGCCAAATTCTGCTGTGTTTGGCAGAGGCCAGCGCGGAACCAACTCTGAAATGTTTTAAGTGTGCCATGTGTGCAATGACAACTAGTTCACACTCAATGAACATTGAACGCAGCCTAGGGGGAAAAAAAAAAAAAATCAGACTGTCCAGCAGGTCCAGTACTAGACTTATTGCATAATTACTGTATTATTGCATACTGGATAACCTGCTACCTGGACTCAGGGAGATTTATGTGCATTGATTCAGTTAGCATATTGCTCATGAGGCTGGAGGTGGAAACTGGCCTCTTTTTGCTTCCTAATCCATACGTAGGGGTCAAGAGGCTGGAACCAGTGAGGAGGAATAAGTGGCCACTGCCAAGAAGTAATCTGAAGCAGCCTTGAGGATACAAAGACATGGAGCCAAGGCAGAAGCAGAAAGAGGACAAGACGGGACTCCATATTACAAACTGAGCTCCCCAAATAGTAGGACTAGCCCTCTGTCCTAATCTTATGTACACCAAGTAGAAATACAAGCACCCCCCAGCTACCGGTTGCTTCCTGTGAAGGAAGCTGAAATAATACAAAAGCTGTTGCTCAGCAACAGTGCAGTCAAACTAGATGGCGATTACCACATTTGTCTACCCACTCACTGCTCTAATATCAATCTATTTGCATGCAAGACAAAAATAAGGAAAACTAAATTTCCATTTGACGATTCAGGATGTGGACCCACGAGAACCCAATTTCTGTTTTACTTTAAAATGATAAAGTCGTTGAGCCCAAGACATCTTTAAAGATACTGCTCTTCAGGGAAAGCGGCATGAAGTACTTTGATAAACACACAACACCATGATCTTGATTTCAAGTAGATTAATGGCTCATCTCAAAAGTTTCCGGCCCTCACAGTGGCAGATTTAACCTCTCAAAGGCAAGAGCATAAGTGATGCAGTGATAGCTGCCACCACTGGCAAATTGCCTGAAGCAATAACTCTCATGTCCCCTATTAATCTTTTTGGAGCATCAACTTTAAGGCCCAATGAAGACAGTTCAGGATCAATCTTAATTGATTTATCATGGATTGTTTTAGTAAATAGAATGGGAATGGGGAAGAGAGCAACTAACTCTGGACCAGGAATCAGGAATTTCCCAAGAAATAAAATGAGAGGAGAGAAGAAAAACAGACAAAAGGCAGAGAAAGAGAAAAGGGCAGAAATAGTGTTGGTCTAGAGAGGAACAATGACTACAACAAAAGGGCACATTTAGTTACTAGAGAAACAAAGTTCTTCCCTGGCTCATGGTGCAAATCTGACATTGCTGGGAGTGCAGTATAGGGAGCATGGAGTCCTAACCCAGTCTCTAATGAAACACAAAGTGTAGCCACCTCTTTCAAACCAGTTTGATAAATATCTACGGAGAGAAGCTAGGCTAAAAGAAATGCCTTCTCTAATTGGAGACCATGTAGGAACTCAGCACTAGAAGGGAGAAGCAGAACTAAGACAGGAGATGAATCATGATCAAGGTTTACGGTTCTTCAGTTCAGCTATACCAAAAAAGGCAAGTTACTGCTACTCTGCACTCACAGTAGTGACTTCTAGGGCCATGAAATGCACTCAGTATATGCTAATTCCTCCACCCAAACACTAAAGCAAACTAAGATCTCCTCTAGCCTCTATCTGCAGCACATTTATCTCAACTGACTGAAAAGCACAGTTTGTAGAAATACTAAACAGAAGTTTGAAGGGAGGAAAAACAGGAAACCATTCACGGTTTGTCAAAAATGACCCTCTATTTCTTTCAGAACCCCTATAGTTCATCATGTCTTATGTAAACACATATTTGCATACCTCTAAAGCATTGGCACTTCTATAACCTCATTCTTTCTCAATGTCAACAGTCATATTAAGGGCACATAGACAGACCATTGCTCTTCTATCCTCACGGCTTATTGATTCCAGTGGATCTTCTTAAATGCAATATATAAGAACTCAGTGTTTACTGAAGTCTCAGGCTGAACACTGGCAAGTCTGAAGTCAAAAGTTCATCTGAGCTGTACAAATATAACAACTGCAGAAAAGTGTGAACATCCGGTTAGGTCTCACACAATCCAACCATACAGAAGAACTCAACCCTCGATTGACAGACCCGCCTACACAAGCGAGGCATATTTCTCCTCGCTATATCTATAAATTGTGATAGTGATTTAGAAGGAGATTTTTCCCAAATGTTTTTTTCCTGATTCAGAGAGGAGAAAAACAAGCTTCTCAATATCCTGCGAGCCGTATTAACAAACTCCCTCCAAACCCCCTATATAACCATTAGCTCGCTGGTACACAATAAAATGCAAATACTCTGCAAAGAAACAAAGATTTGCATATTAATGCTATGCTTGCCTCCTAAAATCCCTTTCTTTTATCAAACTCTTCATCGGGTATAGTCTATTATATTCTAAAAGTTGAGACCCATTTTCAAATACTGCTAATTCGCTCAAGGTAAAAATGTAATAATCATTTTGAAAATTTAGGGGTGAAAATGTTTTCAGAGATTTATTGTATTGAACTCAGTGCAACTGTATTGTAAAGCAATGTTATTGAAATCAATGTTGC